TGGAGATCCATTCCTTTCCTTGCTCAGGTCGCTCGAGGTCTCACATGATTAATGATTCCTACATGTAGTACATGCCCCACCAGCTTCATAAATAAGATAGACGCGCAAACATACTCGCAGGTGGATATTTGGCGCAGGGAGGACCGAAAAGCGCACAGAACGCCACGTTTTGCTTCTCTTGTAAACTGGACGAGACCAACCTCAGGGGGAGCCGATGCGATACCACAGGACGGGCTTTAAAGACTCACATTTGAGTGGGACATGATATTGCCGAGCCGTGATAAGGCGCTAGTTAACAAACACGCTGCGCAGGTACATGACAAAGGACAAGCCCGCCTAGACATTTGCTGTGCAAAGCAAGAGATGCAGGCCATATGAAACAGTTACTCTTCTGCAGAGACGCGGATTCAATTTGTCAGGCTCAAACTAAATGCAGTCAAGCATTCCAGTAAAAGCTTGTACTGCTCGCATCGATTCATACATGTCTATTCATACATGTCGATTCTAAAAAGTCGATAAGATTCCACCAAGCCTCAAAATCCGTTTCCATTGCATCGATTTTTTCTCGCGATACATTGCATCTAAAAACTAAACTGAAATTCTCCAATTCTCTTTTGAAGTGAAGTCCCGTGATGAACATTGATGCATGCAGGTTCTTGACATGCACGCAGTAAGAAGAAAATTTATGCAAGCGTTAACCGGCTATCGCTACCCCAGTGTACGCAAAAACGTTACGCATTCCAAGTCATGGGAGGTGTGACTATTCACCGAATACACGTGTCACATGTATGAGTTCGAGACTGTGCAGCCCTCGTCAGATGCATTCCAATAACCTCTACCGAAAAGTTGCATTTTTTCTAGTGGTGTGTGCGTTATAGGCTGTGTCTCTGGACTTTCACCTTACGAGTACAGTAGGTGTAGAGAAAAGGGTGCGTCCAAAGTCTGGACGCACCCTTTTTCTCTACACTTTTCTTGTGGAGGTCTGGACTCCAGACCTCCACGAGAAAGTCTTATGAAATTTGAAGCCAGTGCGAGAGAAGGTGAAGGGGGCGTCGATTTGAATTCCTTCGATGACACGACCCTATGGGAAAATGGCATCAGTTATAGTGATGTCGTGTCCGATATGGGCGTGCAAGTATCGACGATGTTGTAACTTGTTGTTTTGAAGTAATTCTTCATTCTCCAGGGGAGGCAGAATTTCGCGAAGGAAACCATGAAGGCTGTTGTAATGTCCTGCTTGAACAGGTGCGAAGGGGGAGCTACAAGAGGCAACCGAGTGACGCGTATAGTAGTTACAAAATTGAGAAAATGTTTGACGGATACAAAGAAACAGGGTGAAGAGATGGCGAGGACAATGCCGGGATCATTTTTTGCGACTAAATGCCCAACAAATGGTGGAGGCAATGTCCTGTTGTGCGAACACGGAGGATAGCAGGAGGCTCTACATTAGATTATGTCGTGAAGGCGCAAAATCTATCAGCGTAGAACAAGGCGAACTGTTGTGTATGTGCGCTCACCCAAGTCACGCAATAGCAACAGCGATGCGAGTATAACAATTACGAGTGAGGGTGGAATTGCGGTACAGTATCTATCTGTTGAGAAGGTGGGAAATTGTCAGGCGTATTCCCATAACGAACGTCGCAATTAAATTTGTATAGATGTATATCGTGAGACTGGGAAATGGTGTCGGAACTAGATAAGACTACGAGATGAGATGAGATCGCAGTGGGAGTTATTTTGAGAAGTTGCACTCGCTGATCCCGCAGATAGGCATCAGTGCGGACTATCTTCCGGAATTGCTACGAGAAAGGAATATTGCAGGGCGACTAATTTGTTCGCAGCATCGTTGCTTGAATCCCTCGAAAATTGAGCAGCAAGGCTACCGACGCAACGCTTCAGCAGAACGAATAACGCAGGGCAGGAGCAATACAAGGGTGGACTCTGTAGGAACTGCAGTGCTGTATTGTTAATTGTGAAATGGGCATACAGTAACGAGGGTATATATGTTCAGGC